CCACCTCTATGCCAAAGTTTACCAAGGCTGTAGCAGACATCAGCTCCAGCCTCCTACTGAGCTCACAGATACAGAACCATTCCAAGCACCCATCTCCACCTCAGCAACACCCCCAGATGTCTGTGGTTTTCATCAGGGACCCCAGCACATCATTTCAAGATTTTCACAATGGAGGACTGGTCTTAGTGAGATTTTTTCACAAAGAAGGGAAGGAAACAACTAGGCAGTTTCATACAGCTAAGCAGGTAAGTCTTGGTTTCATTATACTGCAATGTATCACATGCATGAGAATTCAGAAGTATTGAATTCAAATGCACAGTGTAAATCACATCACTTACACTGCATTAGTATAGTGATTCCAATAAAATTATACAAAAACTAACCCATTTTGAAAGAAACAGGGAAGGAGTGCAAGTGTTCTTGCACAACAATAAATCAAACCAGTTCTCTGCTATTCTTCCCAGCAGAGTTGCAGTGTGGACAGATGCTACTGCCATCATTTTATTCTAATAAAAGAACAACACCAGCACCCTAAACTAATTTTGAACTGTTGTAAATGAAGACACAGACCCTCTTGCTTCTCAAGAGAATCAAGTCTATTACCATCATGCAAGGCCTTGTATACTATACGACTATGCTAGGCTTTTATATGTGCAAAAAAAAAAATCCGGCTAAAATTACTCTTGTTAGCATTCTTTGTTAACTAAACAAACACACATTGGCCACGTGCCACCTCGTGTGTTACTGTCCACACATTCCTCTGACCAGCCAACACCCTGATGAGGTGTTGTCCACAGGAAGCTTACATGACTTGTTTTTGTCTTCATGTCAGCTGTACATTTCCCACGGGGCTTTTCATGAATTGTCAGAGAGGAAAGGGCAACAAAGTGAGCAAAGCATTCTACTTATTCTATGAGACTTTTCTTGTCTCCAGCATTAAGGCATCTGTATGAAACTAAGAGTGCTAACCATATTTTAACTCTTTCAGTATATTAGCAAACCCAAAGTAATTTGGGATGACCGTGATGATAAATATAATAAATATGAGGAGTTGAATACTTGTACCCTGAAATTTCAAATGAGCTTTTGCCACAGGGGACTGAGGCAGCAGAGATGCCTTGCAGAGATGCAAGTCCTGAAATTGTCAGCAGC